GGCGCGGGGTGAACCTCAGCGTTTCCTCTTGGATCCCGGTCTTGAATCAGCTGCGGGCAGGAAGGGTAAACTGGGTCGGGTACTTCCACCGGGTGTAGGAAACGAGTACAGCAGCGAGCGAGCGCCGCAAGGAAACACCGACCAGCCAGCTCCCACAATGCACTGCCACGCCTCCCTGTCGACTTCAATGCGCAGGCGCGGGCCCCACCCCACGGGGTGGGGCTCACCTTGCGGCTCATACGCGCAGGCGCCGGGGCGCTTCGGAGGCGTTCAGTCCAGCTTCCCGCTTCCCTCAGGTCTGCGTTTCCTCTATCCCTCGATCCCGGCGCTCCACCCCAGTCCCCGGGTCCCCAGTCGCACACACTCCGCTGGCTGTAACAGTTTATTGGCAGCCCAGAGGGGCGAAGGCACCGCGAGGGAGGGAGCTCGGCCCGAGACATGCAGAGGACAGGGAGCCCCAGGGGGAAGTCGGGGTCGGGCGGGCAGGGTCTGGGGCTCGTCTGTTATATCCCTGCCCTTCAATAAATAGTAGATACAACTGGGGGCCGGGCGGGGCCTGAGGACGTGGGGTCCCGCCGGGGTCACAGGTCTGAACAGCGATCCTGCTTGCTGTAATGGTCGAACTGGTTCTTCCAGTGCACCATGTAGGAGCTCCAGCGGTGGAACTCGGCCTTCCACTGGCGCTCCGCCTCGTCCAGCGTGTCTGCGACGGGCGCCCGGCGGGGTGGGGGGAGGCGGCACGGAGGACAGGAGGGGTGTGAGCGCAGGGGCGACACGGTGGGTGAAGGAGGCCACGTGGGATGGTGGAAAGAGGATCAGGAGAGTGCAGGCAAGACGGTAGACGGAGGATGAGGGTAAGGGTGGGGCCGAAGAATGGCAGGAAGTAGGAGGAGGAAGTGACCGAAAGATGGAGATGGATGGGACCAGAAAGGCCGACCATGGGTTGGCGGGGAGAAAAAGAGAAGAGACAGAAATGGTTGACTGTTGTAACCCACTGGGGGGTGCATCCAGCCCCAAGTCCTCCCCTTCTCCGAAGAATAATTTTATAAAATAATAAAAATTGGCTTTTCATTTCCCTTTAAACAAAGGCAAGTGGGTCCTTGAGGCCTGTCCGGTTTTCGCACAGGAAGGGGGTGCTGGGTCCCTGAGAGCGGCCCTTTCCCCATGGTTCGGCCAAGTGGCCATGTTTTACAGGAGGGGCCCCCTGACACCGGAGGGGAAGAGGCCAGAGGCCATAGTCATAGCCGCAGGAGGAGGAGGAGGAGGAGAAAGAGGGGCAGGCATAGACCAGGCCTGGGCCTCAGGGCAGCCTCCCCAAGGGTGGGGCCTGGGCAGATGCAGGGAGCCTCGGAGGCTGGGGGAAGAAGAGAGGGGTTACACCCAGCGAACTTCCCCCGCCCTCCTGCACCCCTTTTCTCTACCCTGAACCCCCCCCAGACTGGCTCCCGCATACCGGTGGCACTGAGCAGTTTGGGCAGGAAGCGGTTCCAGAAGGCGCAGGCCTGGGCACGTAGTCCCCTCCGAACTTCCAGTGGCCGCAGGTTGAGGCTCACATACTGCTGCGCTCCCGCTGTGTACGCGGGCCACTGAGGGTCCTTGGCATCACGCGGATCATTGGGGTCTCTGCAGAGGGAGAGGGAAGGCTCAGCTCCATAAAAAGGCATGCAGTGCCCAGAGGGTTGGATGGGGAATGGAGAGGACGTGCAGAAGTGTGACCTTCCTGACCCTAGGGCCTCTTGAGCCCCATGGAGCCCCCCAATCCTGCAGCCTGACTGTAATTCTTTCTTTTCCCTAACATTCCTTCTCACATAGGACTCTTCCCTTTTCTCCTGTGCACCCTGTCTCTTTTTTCCCCTTCCCCTTATTTTCCTATTCCTCCCTTGGTCTTTTTTCCTTCCATTAAAAAAAAAGATTAAGGCTACTTTTGATTGGGCCCTTAGAATGTGTGTGTGACCCAGGTACAGATGTGTCTCTACAAACATCCCTTTATTTTGGGCGACACCAGTCTGAGACCAGACTTAACTGCCCCTTTCTTCAGACAGATAAAATGGAGGGGGAGAGCAAGAAAGAATATAAATCACTGCTGATCCAACTTGAGCTGCACAGCCCTCTCCTAACTACTGGATCTCCTTTGTCTTTATCTCTGTCTTCCTGCCCGCCCCTCCCCTGCGCCCCTACCACCTTGTACCTTCTGTCTTTCCTTTGTTTCTCTGCCCTCTTTTGTTTCCTTTCCCCTCATGCCTCCCTTCCTCTCTGTGCCCTCCACACCCCATCCCTGCTGACCCTGTGCGGGCAAAGTTGGCCCAGTATCTCATCATTCGCTGGGCAAAGATTTTCTCCTCGTCGGTGTAGTTCAGCGAGGGGTCCAGGGGGAGTCCAAAGATGAACTCAATCTCGTAGCCATGGGGCACCCCCATCCACAGCGGCCAGGTGAGTGTGGAGGCACGGTGTTCAAAGACGAAGACATAGACTCGGGCCCCCTGGGCAGCCAGTCGCCCAGCCAGCTGGGCCACAGGGCATACGACATTATGGTCGCCCACCACAGCGCTCATGGCATCCCTTAAGCGCGCTGGGTCCTCAGGATGCAGCCAGTCTGTGTAATGTAGGACCACAGCCTCGGCCGCCAGGTCGCTCACCTGGGGGACCCCGATGCGCACCCCAGCCAGGAACTGGGCCCGGCTGATGAGAGATTCGTTGTCTTTGCTGAAGCCTGGGGCCCCGTAAACCAGAAAATAGGACCCCTCATCCTTCACCACACCCACCAGCACCTGGGGAGGGCAGAGACAGGATAGACAGGGCACAGACAGACAGGCAGACAGAGAGAGATGGACAAAGAGCCAGAGAGATGAACAGTTACAGATCCAGAGCCGTGGAGGGAGAGAGCAGGAGACTGGGGAAGGGATGGAGAGAAGGAAAATATACCCACAGCTCTTTTCCTTTCTGCCCCATGACTGCTCTGGGATTTGCACCATTAGGGGAGAGGGGTGGCCATGGGCCCCAGAAGCTTGTCCCTCTGAGAGTGGGTCTGCAGGAGTCCCATGCCTGGGTCCCTGGGGAAGGGAAGGATGGCCAGAACCCAAGGGACCAGCTCCACCCCAGCCAGCCTCTAGTCACCTGCAGGCCATGGAAATCCCCAGCATTGATGAGGGCCTCAGGAGTGTCACTGAGGAAGTCTCCGTCCACCACTGGCACGAAGGAAAACCGGAAGATGCTTTCCTGGGGCAACACGTGCCACTCATGATCCACCAGGTCCTGAGCTGGCCGTGTCCGCAGGCAGGCTACCAGTTCTGTGTCATTGCCACCAGCGCCACCCGGGGGACAGCCTACAAGGCGGGCCAGCAGTGTGGCCCTGCGGCGGGCCTCTCCCATGCCCACTGTGGCCCAGGGCCCGTTGGGTGCACCGCTCTGTAGCACGACCCTATGGAAGAGGCTCCGGCTGGGCGGGGACAGGACATGCATGCCCACTGAGGCAGCACCTGCACTCTCCCCAAACAGAGTCACTGATGTTGGGTCCCCTCCAAAGGCTGCCACATTCTCTTGCACCCACTGCAGTGCCAGCCTCTGATCCAGCAGACCCACATTGCCTGGTGCCTCTCGACTCCCTGGCAGAGCCAAGAAGCCAAAGGCTCCTACCCGGTAGTTCATGGACACCAGCACTGTCCCCTCTGCCTGTGCCAGGAAGCGGCCATCATACACATCCAGGGAGGCGGCCCCACTGTAGAAGCCACCCCCATAGATCCAGATGAGGACAGGAAGAGGGGACGCAGGCCGGGGATATGGTGTCCACACATTGAGGTAGAGGCAGTCCTCACTCAGCTCACGGTTTGGGTTCCACATCTCGGTGCCCTCAAAACCAGGGTACAGGGTGTCCACATATTGGTAGCAGACACTAGGGAAGGTCGTAACATCCAGCACCCCTGTCCAGGGCCGCTTGGGCTCTGGTGGCAGAAAGCGTCGGGGGCCCACAGGTGGCTCTGCAAAGGGGATGCCCAGAAAAGCGGAGACAAGGCCCCCAGAGGCCTTTAGGCGAATGCCCCGAAGCCGGCCCCCTTGAACGGTCACCAGCAGCTCTGGGTCCTCCCGGCCCTCAGCCCCCACCCCTCCTCCTAGGAGGGAGAGAAGGAGGAGGAGGAGAAGTGGGGAGGCCAGGGAGGGCTTGTGCAGGGGACACCACGGGGGCCTCATGGCTGCCAGGGCAGGCCGGTGTCTGCTGGGAGAAAAAAAGGCAAGGGGTGAAGGCTGGCGGTGGCCAGGAGGGAGAAGATTAGGTAACAATCTTGCCTAAGGGTTATCACCCAGCTGCAGAGGAGGTGGGGCAGGTTGGCAAGAGGTGGAGAGAAAAGGAGGGAAGGAGACAGGCAGAGACAAGGACACAGGCAGGCAGGCAAGAGGGGACAGAGATCAGGCAGGTGCACACACCCAGACTGATGCAGGACACAGAGATAAGA